GAGGGCAGACACTCCTCAGATCAAAGCGAAGGCCCTGAAGGCTTCCACTTTTTTCCATGAAACACTATGCATTTTTTTTGAGGGGGTGCAAATCGCTCCTCGTTCGGCTTGGAGCGGATCTCGTTCAGGAAGATCACAGCGCCCAGAGCGCGCTGGAAGTCTTCGTATCTTAGCAGCTGCCACGTCTTGTTGTACTGCCTCAGAGCTGCAATGAGTGACAGACGCTCGCAGGAAATGAAGATAACCGCCTTACTTCCGCCAAGCTGCTCATCCGCCCGTGCTTCAAGCCCCATGCGGTAGGTGTAACCGACCTCCCTCCTCTTGATGACCGGGAAGTGCTCGAACACGCTGGCTTTGTTGAGGAGCAATCCTGAATCCGGTCTGCACCACTGGGGCAAATGTCTAACGAATCCTTCCAACTTTATCCGATGATCCCCCGACCCGATCGTGCCAAGTTTATCAAATGATGCTGGAAGCACTGCACACGGGCCCTCTCGCAGTGCCCGTGTGCCGAGAAGTGGGCCCTGTCACAGTGCCCACGTCTAGCCGATCCCTCCAATCTTCTCGGATGATCCACGAAGGATCCCGACATCTGGCGATGGGCCCTCTCGCAGTACCCATCGCTATCCATTCCAGGTCTGAGCAGCCAGCGGGAACTCCAGCGGTCAGGGCTGACGGCTTTGGGGTTTGCCGGGGTCCAGGCGTCTGGGGCAAGGTCGACTCGAGGTTTATATAGGGGATTCTACGATGCCCCACGTTTCTGGATTTTTGCCTTCGGGGTGCTTCAGTACAATTCTCGATCTCTGCGTTTCATGGGTCCTCCTCGCGCGCTGGCCGGGGTGAGCTACGGTGCCGGGCTGTGAATGGACCGACCGAAAAGTAGGAGCCTAGCAGCAGTCTAAAACTCTGTTAAACTCCCCTTTCGGAAAGGCTGAGTGCATTAGCCGTGTTTTCCGAACTGACAGTCCGACACCCCGGGGCCCGTACGGAGCTGCTAAGCGAGCATCATGAGCATCACAGCGCTACCAACCGATCCCGTGGCGCAGACCCCTGGCTGCCGTCAAGTCTCGCCAATCCTCCAGCGTCATCAGCTTCTCCCCGTACCTGAGTTGTGGTTTCAAATTCTGTAGCCGGGGCTGTGGCTGCGAAGCTTCACGGAAGCACGGATTCACAGAACCTTGATGTCCAATGGCAGTGGGATAGTGATGTAGAGATCACCATGGAACATAAGCACGACACGACAAGATAAGCCAAGCGATTCAGAAACTTCGCCCACAGAGACGAACAGAAACCATGAGCCACAGGCATCGGGATCTGCCTACGCCTGGTCTCGCTACTGAAATCCAGGACAACCGCAACTCATGCCTTTTATCGCGAACTCTGCATGCTCCGACTGGGCGTCTGAGGCATCCACTTCATTTCGTGGACGGAAGCCGTCTCGTCGAAGAGAGCCCGCCTTTCAAACCACGAATCCCGCGCGACGTCTGGAAGTTCGCACGGCAGGCCCCCCAAAACGGTGCTGCATTTCGACGAGGTGCGTGGTCCCGTGGATTTTCACGAAAGTGTCTTGCACGACATCGTCCGAGCCACAGTTCAGGAGCGTTCGTATATCGCTGCCTCCAGCCATTGGTTTTTGGAGCATTCCTCTCCCATTCTGCGAACCGTAGAGAGACGGCTGAGGCTGGCACTGTACTTCACACACAGAACCGCCAGCTCCTGTCATCAGGCATGCTCGGCCAGGAAAACACCATGCCGGAAGATCTTCGAGAGCAGCAAAAACTCGAATTCCAAATTCTCTCTCCTTGAAGAGGCAGTCCAGCGCCTCCGCCTGAATTTGCAACAAGCGGGGCGGACTGCCATTTGCACGTGCTGCGCTGTGTCTGCAGGCCTTCGTGAGACGTGGCCACTTGGTATGAGCCACCCTGAGCAAGAACTCGGCGAACCTCGGGTCGGCTGGGAAGCCAGAGCACACGGAGTAAATGGGGGTTTCCCAAAATAGGGGGCCCTAATATAGCACCTTAAATGGTAGGATCCTTATTATAAGGACCTCAAAAGAGGGTACCCCTTATTTTCGGAAACTTCCAAATAAGCCTCTCCAGCCGAGATTCTGGTACCGGGCCAGCTGCTGTCGACAAGTGACCTATTTTCAGGCTCGTGGCAGCCGGCTGCAAGATGACTCCCCCCCCACACACAGGTTTGCGTGCACTATAACCAAAGCCCCAAAGCACACAGTTAGTATAATTCTCAGAAATGCGTCCGGGCTGCTTGAAATCCTTCGGTCTCTTCCGGCCTGGCTGTCTAGAACCCCTTTCCCAAGCCCTCGACTCAGCGTCTCCGGAGCTCTGACTTACAGGCGAGATCTTGCTTTCATATATCTATATATGAATCAATATGTATATCTATATCTGTATTTATCTATACATATATATATGTATATATATATATATGTATATCTATATATACATGCATGCCAACGTAGAGTTTCTATGCAGGGTTCATTCAAGGGTCTCCCTGTATTAACACAGTTAAGCTAGATCCGGGCTGAAGACTATCCCACTTTGTTCGACACCGTAAACCTATGATTGCATGAATGAATGAGTACTACAGTATTCCGCATGGCATCACTCATACTGCCAATCCTGTTGCTGCAACTCCTTGTGATTGCACATGATTCTGGCCCTTGCTGAATGATCCTCATGCAGCATGCATCCTGTTTGTTCGCAAATAGAGCCTGTCGGGCAGCAGTGCTATTAAATGCGGGGCGGGGGGGGGGGGCAGTTTTGCGGTGACGGCACACCTGCAAACGAAGGGTTACAGTGATGTTAAGACTAAAATCGTAACCAGGTACGGGGGAGCAAGTAATACTGCAGTACTTATTGCCATTCTGCACAAATATTATACTATCAGTCACGGTACTGCTAATAACATTCCACTGTCATTTCCGCTGCAGCACTGTCAGGACCTCTGCCGCTACTACGACTCGGAACAATCTTCCCTGCCTGGTCACGTTGCTCTGGGTGTAGATGTTGCCAACCTGGGCCTGCTAGGCTCTGGCATGTCGGGTTTAGGGTTTAGGGTTTAGGGTTTAGGGTTGGAACCCAAGTCTTCGTCACAAGCAGTGGTCTTGTCCAGTTTGGGTTGAGGATTCAGATCGCCGGTTGACTATCGATGGAGGTAATACTGACTCGAAAGCAGGCGGCGAAAAAGGACTAATTGCGCCCTTCTAGTAATGGAAATTCTGGTTCCGTTCTCGCCGGTCTTTAGAAAAAGGTGTCGATGCGGAGGAGAGTGGTGCCTTCGAAAAGTTCCTCCAGCAGCACATCCCCACTTGTACTGCTGGACTGCGCAAGAGATTCCATGTCCAGGTTTTGAACCCAAGCTGTGAAATTCGTGAAGATGACCATTGGGAGAAACGCTGACTGGAACGAAAGGACACTGCTTTGCCGGGCCTTTAGGGTATGTTGTAAGAGACTTCTGATCTGCCGAAAGCCCAAAGGATCCAAAAGAATCAATTACTTGCGTGCACCTGCGCGAAGTCTTTGTCCAAGATGTCAATGCCTCGGCAGCAGCTCACGAGCATGTCTGTAAGATCTTATTCAGCCTTGGGTGTGCAACCTTAGACATCCCAAAACCGCCGTTACACACAGTACATACAGACATGGTGCAGCACTGCTAGGCCCCCCCTCCTTCCCCCCCTGTGGTTCCCTGTGGTGTGGGTTCCCCCCCGTTCCCTCCCTCGAAGATTCAGATCATGATCCCCGTCTGCACGCTCCTCCGGTCCCTTGCTCAAGACTCTTTCATTCAAGCACATGCTCGGGCTCACTTTTGACGCACCCAACCGAAACTGAGCATAGAATGACAACGGTCGATACAAACTACGAAAATCTACGAAAGGACATCAAGCCAAACAAGTTTTTGAGAAAGCATAGAACATGCTGTACCTAAGGGCAGAACAGCATAAGAGCAGTGGTGCTACCAACAGTCACACTCGGAATACCAGCATGCAAGAACACGCCATCGTCATTTTCCTGAGCATCATCGCCATCATTATCATCTATGTGGGGAGGGGGGACGGGGTTTGCGCGATCTTGCGCGAGAGTTCCAAACGAACGTCGACAGTTACGAGGATGATGACGCGGACGAGCACCATCCCTGTGACTGTTTGCTCGGATGAGAGGCCTGGCTTGGCTGTGGGAGGGGGGGGGGCATACCAATCGCGGGGCGGGTGGGGGGTGGCCACTGACACGGCGACGCGGGACCATACATTATACAAACACTAGCGCAGAGTTAGAGGTGTGAGAGCTTTGTGAGATCAATGCTTGAAGCAATCGTCATAAGGAGTATGGCAACACAGACTCCTCAATCATTGCGCACTACACGCTCTTCTTTGCGGTCCTGAATGTCACGCCCTGGCACAATGATTTTCAACCTACACCCGAAACTGGACCCAAAGTTTCCACATCAACATCGGCCCAGCCTTCATGACCGAGAAGGGCGGCCGCGGACCGCTTGCTGACACCGAACCTAGGACTCTCACCCCATGCATACCTGCATGCATCTCAAAACACAAAATGTACATGCGGCATAACACCAAAAACACATAGAGAGAGGGAGACTACATGGTAGACAGACCCTTCCTGCACTAACAAGATGCACTGCGTATTCTTGCCAAGATTCACGCTGATGTCTTCGGGTACGGAGCCCCTGTCATTGCAATCTTCCGAGGAGAGCTTCCGGTAGAGTGGCATTACCCACCTCGCATGTTGTTTCGAGAGATTAGCCGAAAAAAAGAGAACGATGCACTGGAAAGCAAAAGCCAGAGCACCTGTACTTCCGAAACAGGGCGTGCTCCATCACCTGGAGCACTCTGAATTCCATCATGCAATCGATAGAGTGGCAGGGTGCCAGCTGTCCATTCCTATGATTGTACCAGCAACGCCTGCTGGAGCCGTTACACTGCAGCTTCTTCACATGGTATGTCCTCAGGGTCAGAGAGATCACGCGCCTCGCACTCCTCTTCAGAAGAGAAGAAGTTCCGCAGTAGCTTGGGACCTTCCGAGCAGCTCCCCCTCTTTATCATTGCAGCGGGTGGATCCATCGTACCATCACACGTCCCCCCCAAACCCTGCCAATGGTTGCCAGGGAGCGAAGTATCTTCCAGTCGTGTTCGAAGCATGTGCAGAGCACCCATTTGTATTTGATCAAGCTCGGACGTGGATAGACACGATCGTCTAGGGGTGGCAGCTGATCCTCCGTGATCAATCTGACCTCAGAGAGCTCGAACTCGTCCTGTGCCATCTTGGCGACGGCCGTCTGCTGCGCTGAGAGCTTTCCATCATTGGAATTCTCCACAGGGCTCGGACTCGGGCTCGGCTCCTCCCTGGGCTCTTCCTTTAATAAGGGAGCCTCTTCCTTTACCTCTTCTGGCGCTTCCTGGGCGACTAGGCTTAAGCTCGCCTCTGCTGGTGCTGGGCCCTTGCCAAGGGCTCCGTAGTCGATTTCCTTGGCTCCGACACTGCCAGAACACCAGAAATAAGAAGCACTCGATCCCTTGGCGTGCGATGCATCGTTCTTCAGAGCTTCCTAACGATCTGAGGGAACGGAAAAGTGAAAAGCGAGCGGCGGAATTCGCGGCCTGCAGACTTCTCCTCTTGGCTTCCCTTGGCCGCTTGTCGAATGGCAGCCCACCACTCCCACCCCCCTATTCTGGCCCCTATGGCCCTATGGGCACCAAAAGCTTCAACAAAGGCCAAAGTGCAAGCCAGGGCACGTGTCGGATCCTGGCCCCGGGGGGTATACCACAAAACCAGAAGTGTAGTAAGGTTATTGCTACAAAGAGGGACCACACAAGGGGATACATGATCACCGAGTCTTCGAACAGAAGAATTTTAAGAAGGACTTCAAGGGGAAAGTATCGATATGGGCAGCTAGTTCTCTAAACCAGGGTCCCTTTTAGGGTCCTTATTGCGTACTATATTGGGGGTTTTAAATGGGGACCTAATTTAGAGAATGACCCAGATTGCTCATCATTCGAAGCACCGGCAAAACACTCTCTCCGCTTCCCACGGCCAGCCTGCCGAGCCTCTGCGAAGAAAGAGCAAAGCCCCAAGGACCTCGAGCAGGAACTCAGCTGGTATGAATTGGGGGTTTCCGAAAAATAGGGGACCCTAATATAGCACCCTGAGTATTAGGATCCTTATTATAAGGACCCCTAAGTAAGGTACCCCAGGGTTTGTTCAGGCGATTTTGTTGGGATCTAGGTTCCATCTGCCGAGCATGGCTACTGAGGATCCGACAACAGCGATAAGGAGGAAGACCGAGATCGCACAAACCACAGCAATGTCGGAGCCCCTCGGCGCAGAAACATGCCAAACTGACTTAAACAAAAACACCAGGGCTCTCGTCTCTGCCCTGGTTCTTGCCTGGATGGCGCCAGAAATGCGGTCTGCGAGGAAGCGCCTCGCCGCAAGACAAAGACGGGGGGGGGGTTATTGAAGGAGTGGACGAGCTACCAACAAGCTGCAGGCTACGAGAAGACATGAAGATCTGGAGTGATTGCTTCGGGCCGGGCCGGCCAGGTTGAAGGTTTCAGCCCGCCTGCTTGTGCTCGATTCGACGCAGCGGTTTGGATCAGGACCTGCTGCGGTTCCATGGCAGCGCTCCCGCAAATCTCAAGTCTTTGCCGCGTCTACCGAGGCTCCCACAAAGGACAGCAGGAATGTCCGTGCGAGTGCTGCCATGAGCCGAGTGGGGAGATGAAGAACTCCCTGCAAGGGAGGCGTGGAGTGGCAAACTACGACATGCTTGAGCAGACGAGTCCAGCAGCGCATCAAGGAAAACTCCCGTTATGCGGTAACTGTGCAGAGGATGGGTGCGGCTTCTTGCGCTGGCGACAACAGGAACATGTTCCACACTAATCGCTATTTCCACTCTTCCAGATACCACATCACAGCAAACGGGACCTGTCCTAAGTCCTCAAGCGCGAAGGCCCAAAGCCCTAGATCCAAAAAGAGAGACCCCGGCAGAGACCCCACGAGTTTTGTAAATCCTAAACTCCTAGATGCAAGCCCTTCGACCCCCGAAAGTCAGCCACCCACCTGGCAGCGATTCGAAAGCAAAGTGGCCTTGGAGTCAGCGGGCTGGAGATGCCCAAAGGATTCGCAGAGTCGCTTGGGGTTGGGCCCTATAGTCTACTAACTAACTAATTCGTGCAACCCAGTCACCCGATATTTAGGCAACTGGACCCCTGGCGATCAATAAGAAACCTCATGTCAAACTAGTATAGCCAGAGTACTGATAAAACGGCAATGACCATTATGCTTGTCATTACGTACATTGGACAAACAGCGAGTGATCCGGCAATCTGGTCCCGACTGTGTTTGCAATCTGCACGACTGTAGGCCCCCATCTGGCCTTGAAGCACACTAACTGCAGAATCCATGACAGAATATCATCTGTCTACCAAGACTTTACGTCGCTCTGAACTGAAGAGCCTGAACGTCTCTGTTGGCGTGGTGGCGCTGATCTTGGATGATGATGGTGGAGGTGGTCGTTGTGATGTGATGGTGATGTGCCAATGCAGCAGAGGTGCAAGAGTTTCAGTCTCAGGGCTCTGAAGCCCGAGGCAATAGAACTCGGCGGCGAGGGCATACTGCCTCGAGAGCAAGGCATTAAAGGCTCAGGGTTTAAGGTTTGAGGATATGTAAGGGCATTATTGTAAGGGTGCTGTCGTAGTGAGTGGAAACAATGGGTCACAGTAGCACATAAATGCTGTGCGCCACATTGTTCGTCGCTATGTCGCGTTCCGTCTTCCAGTAAATGGCCAAATGCCGCCAAGCCATGCCAGCCACATAGAAATTGCAGTTTGGCAACAGCCTATGATTACATTCATGTAGAAGTGCTTTGTTGTTGAGTGTAACAACATGTAACATGTACTACTAGGAATAGTACCTAACAAACACAAAACCTGCACCTCTATACATACGATGCACATACGTGCATACACTGATAGGTTCCAATGAACACCTAGACCTACACGCACGCACATGTAGAGCTGCAGGTGAGCCAAGTGTCCGACTGAGAGGTCACAGCCTTGTTGCCGAGACTTCGGGCATCGGCGAGTCCCGGACCGGGGCCGGACAGCCGCGCCTGGCTACCAAGGGAAGGTCTGGAGCTTCGAGCTCTCTGCTGGATTTCCTCTGAGAGAACAAGGATCAGAAGCTGACCATGCTGAAGACGACGACGACGATGATGATGATGATGATGCTGATGCTGATGATGCTAATGATGTGCATTTTGGATGTTGACGATGTTGGCGATGATGATGATGATGGTGATGATGATGATGATGATCATAAATTATATCCATGAGCATGTCGTCATAGCCGGAGTCATAACTGCTCTTCTGATGTGCTACTGTTACAGAGCTGCTGTGGCTTCGGTGCCTGCTGGTGCTGCTGATGCAGAACATGCTGATGGTGGCGACGGGGGTGGTGCCGAGGTGGCATCACAGCAACAGCAGAATTGATTTAACTGCTGCTCCCAGTAACTAGCCGTCGTTCTTTTGAGCCTGCATAGCTTGTCGCAGAGTTCTGCGGATCTCTGCAATGGCAGTCGGCTACTCGACTCGGCTGCTCCAACCTCTGGGACTCTGAGATCCACGAGACTTCCAGCTCCACGCAGGGAAGAAGCAACTGAAACTGGCAGATGGCAGCCACGCAGGATAAGCAGGGAGGAGCGGAAATGAAGAGCTGGACCTTGCCGGAGACTCTCTGTCCTTCCGAGCTGTCGGAGAGGTCTTCGAAAATGACATCGCAGGTCTGTGCCAGGACTTGGAACTCTGCGCAAAGGCTTCGCTCCACTGAGCCCGCAGCGAGCGGCACCGGAAAGAGCCACCGCTGTGCCCGAAGCCCATCGCTCACTCCACTCACGGCGGACTGCGAGAGCTGCCTCTCCCCCAAAGTTGCGTGGCAGAGCGCAGTGATGGGGGGCAGCTTCCCGCTGCCAGGAGCTTCCCGTGGCAGAGAGGGCCCGGGCCCGGCAGTGACAGCGATGTTTTGACTTCTCAGGAGCTCCCGGGAGCCGAGGTCGCCAAGCTGATCGGCGCCCAGGCGTTTCGCCATGGCTCCGAAGTCCTCCAGAGGCCCCTGAAAGCCCCGAGGAGGCTTTGAGTGGGAGCTGGAGAGCCGAGTCAGGGGCTCCCCGAGTTGCTGGGTGAGCTCGGAGAGCTTCGCCCGAATGACTTCGCAGCTTTGGGAGCAGAGGAATAAGGGGAAGACTTGGCAGGCATCTGCCAGCCAGCCGACCTGTTGTGCCGGCAGAGCATCGATCTGGCTCACGGTGACCTGCATCAGGTATCTCATCTGCGATGCACCGGATGGGGTCTGCCTGGCACAGGCTTGCGCTATGCTGGCAGGTTGCCGTGCGTCGAGCGACTGGGCCCGCGCAGACACTCTTTCCACTGCGGTTGACATCGCCTGCCGGTCCACGTGCTGGGCGGCGGAGAGCGCCCATACAAGGTTTGCCGAGTCCATCGGGGACCAGCGGTGGCTTTGGAGGCTCGACTTCCAGGCCACTGCAAGAAAGGCCTCGCCCCTGAGCCGCGAGCGTGCGGAAGCCCAGGCCAGGGTTGCCAAGTCGCGCGGTGCCGAAGCCGAAGTCCCCTGAAGCTTGCGGGAACTGGCTGCGACGGCCTCCGCGAGCGGCTGGCGGAAAGCTCCGGACCTGGCAGATGCTTGCGCAAGGCCGGCAGGCTCCCGCGGTCGAGGCTCTGGGTCTTCTTGTTGCAGCTTGCTGCAGGCCACCTCTGCCAAAGCATCCAGCAGGATCATGCTTCGTCTGGCCAGCTTTCCCCACTCTCATGCAATAGATGCAAGTCCCTTTGGGTGAAGCTCCCTGGGCTGCTGTTGCATCTTCCTGGTGAGAGTCCGGCTAACTGCATCTGGCAGGGCCGAGCCGTCTCAACTTGTGCAGGCGGGTCCCCAAGACAGGTTCGCAGGACTTTGTGCATTGGATTCAGTGATCAGCTCGCCTCCTTTGCATACCAAAGAGTTCCAAAGCGGCCCATCCTTCTGCTGCAGTCAGGCAAAGTCTCAAGCTGCGGATGACAGGCCCTGTGGCCCCGACTCCTGGACGCAGGAAGCTCTACTGGCCACCAGCCTTACATTGAAGGCTCGGTGACTCAGGCATTTCAAGCATCTCCACCGGTAGCAGGCGAGGGGCCACCGCTACCCGATGGCGCGTGCCGCGCTCATGGCCGGTCGTCTGTGCTACTTCGGCAATGATGCTACATGGCTACTCTTGAAGCCATGCCCTGAGGCGAGGATGGATAATCTAATCCACATGCAGCTACAGCCGGGTTCAGACGCACATGTGAGGCGTGCCTTTCTACCCGCTTCTGTTGCAACTACCTTAGGAACTAATAAACCCTTTCTGGAATGCTCCCTTTGTCTACGATTCCACTGCGCTGCCTCCCCAGGGCCGATCTCGATGCCCAGGAGCCCCTCTGGGCTGACCTGGCGCGCAACAGCTGAAGACCGAGAGCTTCTGTGCTTGTTTTTGAGGGGCCGAGGCTTTAGGTTTTGGCGGGGTCCCAAATTCGAGGTTTATGGGGTTTTAGGGTTTAGGCTTATAGGCATCAGGGGAACGTCTCAGAGCATAAAGTCGCTAAGCGTGGCTAAAGACAGTGGACGAAGCTGCATGAACGTGACAGACAGGCCTGGAGCAAAGGCTCCATGATGCTAACTTTCGTCCCTCTTGAGAACTTGGCCTTAGTGAAGCAAGGCACTGCGATAAGTGCTGCGGCCGTCGCGATTTGTGGCGTTTTGCTCCCCAAGGCTCTGACCCTCGCCAACTCCACCAGCATGTCGTTAGCTTCCCCGTACGGCAGCTGCCCTTGGCTCACTGTGGCTGTGCAGAAGAAAGCACTAATATAATGTAGTATAATATAATACAGTATAATAAAATAATGTAGTATAATATAATATAGTATAGTATAATATAGTATAATATAATATAGTATAATATAATATAAAATAGTATAATATAAAAACCATCGCACACTGTGGCAGGGACCATGAAACATCAGCCGCAGCAGATTGCCTTGCCCGTCACGGGCCACTTGCATCACATGCCTCGTGCAGCAGCGTCAGTGGGTAATTCGCCCAAAACTGTGACCCTCGTAACTGGGCAGTGGCTCGATAGAAACAACTCGCCGCAGCTTGCGGCCTATGAGGGCAATTATGGGAATTCCACATTTGACATCATTCCACTGTCGGAAGAATAGCAGCAGAACGTCTATCCTCGTAACCACCATCATGATGATGATGATGGTCGTGATGATGATGATGATGATGATGGTGATGATGGTCACCGTCATCGACATCAACATCATCATCGTCCATCATCAACATCATCATCATCCATCATTGCGGCGAGAGCCGTCGTTGCAGTGGTACAAACAGCAGCAGTAGCAGTCATTGTGGGAGGGAGCAGCAGAAGGAAAACTGTCTTTACTCCCACACACTGTCATGCGGATCTTGGGAAGAAAAAACCATAACGGACACAGCGATCATGAGAACCCAAACTTAACAGAATGATACAGAAATAGCCATGGCCCACCCCAAACCCTAAACCCCAAACCCTAAAATCCCAAACCCTAAAACCCCTAAACCCTAAAACCTCAAAAAGCCCTAAAACCCTTTAAAACCCTGTCAAACCCTGTCAAACCCTTTAAAACCCCTAAACCGTAGCTATGGCTATGGCTTCAGGTCCGAGCTGCCCTGCAGGCGACACGCCCGGCTCCGACATCAGCGTGGCCTCGGCTTCCAGACTTCGGGGGCTGCGTTTAGGGCTTTTTAGGGTTTTAGGTGTTTAGAGTTTAGGGTTTTTAGGGTTTTAGGGCTTTTAGGGGTTTATAGGGCTTAGGGCTTTTAGGGTTTCTAGGGTTTAGGGGTTTAGGGTTTAGGATGGTTTAGGGGTTGAGGATTTATAGGGGTTTTAGGGGTTTAGGGTTTTTGGGGGTTTAGGGTTTATAGGGTTTAGGGGTTTTTAGGGGTTTAGGGTTTAGGGTTTTTAGGGGTTTAGTGTTTAGGGTTTATAGGTTTTTTTGGGGGGTTTAGGGTTTATAGGGTTTTAGGGTTTTTAGGGGTTTAGGGGGTTTAGGGTTTTTAGGGGTTTAGGGTTTTTAGGGGTTTAGGGCTTTTGGGGTTTAGGGTTTTTAGGGTTTATAGGGTGTAGGGGTTTAGGGTTTTTGGGGGTTTAGGGTTTTTTGGGGTCGAGGGTTTAGGGTTTATAGGGTTTAGGGTCTATAGGGGTTTAGGGTTTTTAGGGGTTTAGGGTTTTTGGGGGTTGAGGGGTTTAGGGTTTTTACGGGTTTAGGGTTTAGGGGTTTAGGGTTTTTGGGGGTTTGCCCTAATGGTTTAGGGGGTTGGGGTTTAGGGGTTTAGGGGTTTAGGGTTTGGGCGGGGATGTTGGGGGCTCAAGCTGTAGTCAGGTCTTCAAGCGATTTGGGGATTCGGACGTGGAGCGGAGCTCATGGCGTGCAGACTCATGCTCAGCTCAGCGCAGAGCAAACGGCTCCCTGCCAGCAGGGAACCAGCTATGGCATGGAGTAATTAGTGCCGAAACAGGGTTCGAGGCTTTGGGGCTGGGGGCTTCAGCATGCTTCCGGAGTTCAATCTGCCGCAAACCGTCCCCGGCCTCTTCTGCGTAGAACACACTCATGTCCTTGGCCCACGGTCAGAATTTGACAACGAAGACAGCGTCTGCCGGAAGGTCCCAAGCTGAGCCTCACGCAGAAAAATCAACGCTGGGCGCTTTGTGCATGCAAAAGATCTTGCCCGAACTTCTTGCACCGCACGGCAGCCTCACAGGATGCTACAACGGCGATACAGTGAAGCTACAGAAACGCACAGTGCTGCGACGCCATTGCCCGGTTGCATTTCTGCGACGAAACCTTAAAATTAGTGGTTGCGTGCTGCCTGATAGCCTTTTTTGCGATCACAGTACAAGCTTCACTTGGTATGTCTAGGCCTCGACTAGACGTCCCGACCAGCGACATGATCCCTCGGATTGCTACATCCCGTAGATCCTAAGTCTCAGGCTACTCCCTGGTAGTATTCCTAGCATTCTGCTCTGTTGTACTCATGCTCGGTAGTATGGTGATGTTCAGTCCTCCTTGCATTATTCCTCCCAGAATTCGCACAAAGTTCCACATCGGAAAGGCGCCGCACCTACGGCAGGTCGCAAAGCCGCCGTGCAGGCCCAACGGTCCAGTTCGCCACTGGCACGAGGAAAGCTCCTGGACAGGTCAGGCCCAGCATCAATGTGCCTAAGGGTTTCAGTCATTCAGGCTTCAGGTAGCTATTTAATTTTTGTTGAAGGCCTGTTTCCCAAAGGCTCCAGTTGTTTAGGTTTAGGTCGTGGGGTTTGCAGTTACGGCTCAGGACATAGAGGTTTGGAATGTCGAGTTCAAGGATGGTCGCTGTTATGCCGAATGCCCTACAGCCCGAAAGCCCGAACCCCAAAACCCGAAGCCCTAGCACCCGAAACCCGAAATAGAGAGACCTCTGCACTTCCGAGAGACCTCTGCACTTCCCAAAGCAATCTGCTTTTGGACAAACACATCTTGCCACAAGAAAGGCTTTCTGTATGGGTGATTCTAAGCCGTCCTTCTGCTCTTCGAAGATTGCGTGTCCTCGCTTCTGGCGCCCAAAAGACGGGATGTGCTTGTCCTCAAGAACTTCCGAAAGGGCTACGCCGCTACAGACGCACAGGCTCTCTTACCATTGGGCGGTGAGAACCCTTAACCCTAAAGTCTAAAGCCATAAACCCTTGAGCCCTGAGGCCCTAAAGATCACTTGTAGAACCCTTAACCCTTTTAAAGCCATAAGCCCTTGAGCCCTGAGGCCCCGAAGCCCAAAGTCGAGAAAACCCTGCAAAAGCACTGGCAGAAGCTGAGGAGGGGGCTTGCAAAACCTGGTCGGGAGGCTCGGATGGGGCTCTGGGGGTTTAGAGTATTGTTGTATTTTGTAATCATAATCACCTCTTCTCCTTTCCGCATCTGGTCGGGAATACCAGGGTGTAAGGGCGGTTCAGGCGTTCTTTTCGGGGATTTCTATGTCTCTGAAGGCTTTGATGTCCGTAGGGCTGAGGTACTCCAAACCCCCCCCCCCAAATACCCTAAAACCTAAACCGTATAGCTATTGCATGCAGACTTCTGTAGCTGCCATCCTACCAGACGCAACTACATTTCCAGAATTCTAGATAGGGTTCAAGAGAAATAAGAACTTAGAGTTTGGGGCTTGCAGGTCTATGTTTCAGGTTCTTGGCCTTCTCTTGTGGATCTAGGATGCTTCGGCACTTTTGGGGCTTTGGGTGTTAAGGCTCCCGAGTTTTCCCCGCATTGCGACCTCGAGCAGCTCTCTGTAGACCAGGCGCCAGCCGACGGAGAAGCTCAGCAGCACCTGGCACGGCCCACTCGCGTATGCCTATACCTATCTCTCTGTCTCTGTCTGTCTGTCTCTCTCTCTCTCTCTATATATATATATGTACATATACATATATATATATACATATATATATATACATATATATATATATATGTATATGTATGTATGATATGTATATGTATACCTATATGTATATGTATATGTATAGGCGTATCGGCTGCAAGTCGTGCATGCAGATTGCATTTTTTCTTCGGTCGCAGTTCATCTCGACCACACCGCTCCTCAAGGGAGCTTAGCTTTCGTTTGCAGCCATGTCTTTGCCTAGTACTGATCCAGCAGCGGTACAGGTTTACGCAGAGGAGTATCAGCGCCTTCGTCAGGTTGACCACGCCTCAGTGCAGCAAGTTTACTGGCAGCATAG